AAATCGAGCTTCCACACCAAATGAAAATAATAAACCAGTAGTACAAAAGACTTCCACTACAACAACGAATACACATACAATATCAAAGTAAGTCGAGCGATAGATTTCAACCATTTCTTTTGTCTTTAAAACCTATATGCTAATTCATTTTTTTTCCATATTTTCTATTCTGTTTTTCTATAATCTCATTCTTACTAATCTTATTATATTTTAAATTAAGGAATGATCTTCCATTGACATCGACGGACATAAATGCTAGAAAAAATCAGTCTTCACCTCCATCGCAATCACAATCAGCAATGATAGATTCCACATCAGATCGTCTACTTAAAGTACGCTATATTAATCCTGAATGAACTGTGATGACTGTTATTTTTATAAAAGTCAAAGCCCAGTCTTTTATTGCTGTTTCTGATTAAAAAAAATACCGTTAATATTGGCTGCTAACTGATTTGGCTCCTCAACCTGATAGATCAACTCTGTCAACGACTTTTATATATACAGAGTGTTTGGTTCTTTGTATGTGGGTTGGACGTGGTTTTAAAAGGCGTTTGCTTCTTTTTAGGAATATCAAAAGAATCGTGCAGAAGTAGTCAAACAATTTGAAGAACAAGAGAATCGACGAAATGAACTTCAGAAACAACTTTGTAAGAATTTATCTTACAGTATTTTCGGTGTGTGAAAAATTCTTTTGTTTATTTTCAGCTTCACCGACAGAAGTAAAAACTCGTCCATTAAATGACGTAACAAAATTCGATTCACTTGAAGTTTGTGCTTGTTAACATCTATAAAAAGGGAGCCTCACTCGCTTTCTTTTGTTCTAGGATATTGCTCGTTCCCCCGCATTTTTACCATTAGTTTCCCTTGAAGATGTACAAGCAATTCGTGCTGTTGATGTACATCCAAGTGGAAAGTACTTTGCTGTTGGTTCGAACTCAAAAATGTTTGTAATTTTTTTAGAAAACTAACAAACTTGATGTTGTCATCATCTCTTTTCAGGTTACGTGTGTGTGCGTATCCAGACATAAAAAATATTACGTATGTACCAATGAAAATATGAATGAGAGAGATAATATTGGTTAACGATGTCTTTTTATAGAACGGATTCTATACCAAAACCAGCCAAAGTTCTTTATAAAAAAGCTAAACATCATCTTGGTTCGATCTATTGTACGGCATGGAGTTCGGATGGTCGAATTATTGCAACTGGTTCAAACGACAAATTAATTAAACTTGTACGATTAGATATGGATAGACCGGACGATAACACAAATAGTAAGTAAGACTATTTAGTTTTGTGAAACTATTTATTAAATGTTGTTTGTTTAGACCCTGAAGTTGAATTATCGTACCATAATGGTACTGTAAGAGATATTGTATTTATGCATGGTGGTTTACGCGACAATTCGATATTGTTGAGTGGTGGTGCTGGCGACTGTAAAGTCTATGTCACTGACGTTTTGAAACAAACACCGATTAAAAGTTATGCTGGACATCAAGGTTCGTAAGAAATAATATCTTACATGAAAGATTTATAACATTCATAATTATTATTTTTATTTAGGTCATATTTATTCATTATTTGCATGGGATGCGTGTAGTTTTGTTTCTGGAAGTCAAGATGGAACATCGAGAATATGGGATATTCGTCAAAATGAATGTGTAAATGTCATTGTACCACGAGCAAACAGCAGTAGGAATATTTCTCAATTTCTCAATCTAGATAATATTATTTTCCTTTTTACACATATTGTAGATAGTCCAGTGGCAGGTGTTGCTGTCGATAACTCGGGACAATTATTGGCTGCTGCCTACGAAGATGCAACATGTTTATTGTATGATTTAAGAGGAAAGAGGATTGTACAAAGTTATCACCCACACGCCAGTGAAATTCGAAGTGTTCGATTTTCTGTTCATTCATATTATCTACTAACAGCTTCTTATGACAAAAAAGTTGTAATGACAAATCTGAGTGGTAAGAAATTGTAACTTTATCCTACTCAAAAAAGTCTAGTTGATGAATGTTAGAGTGAATTGCTCGTGAAATCACTCTTTGACAAGATTTTGTGTCATAGTCATTTT